GCCACCTCGCTTACACTCTAAACTTCTGTTATTTAAAAGCTTCCTAATTTGCATCTTTCATTCACGTTTTACTTCTCGGGTTGGTTGGAAAAGAATTGCCATTTATTCTGGCCCCAAATAACCCAAAAGGACATGATAATGAAAAAACGCGTAAGCCCGTCACAAGCTTCATGATCATGTTTTTATTCTTAATTTCTGCTAGACACTTTTTCCCTTTCAAATTTAATGTATTATAAATTTGTATGTATTATAAGTAAGTTATATGTATTATATGTTTAAAATGCAATTAACGAGATTTTTACACCACTTTTTTAGTTGTTGATACAATCATTTCTCCTTGTAAAGCGTAAATACGCAACCTTCTAGCCATACATCATTTTTAGAAGACCTTTTTTAAAATTTATTTTTTATTTTACATTCCAATCAAAAGAAAACCTTAGCAGACGATTATTCTGAAGATGCTAAAGTTTTACCTCAAAATGCAAACGAGAAAAAGAATTACAAAATCGTTTCCATCCACCTTCTGTATATCTGATTATGATTCACTTAATATTTTTTTAATCATAAATCGGGGCGATTTTAAGCTCATCTGTTTTCCTGTTTAACTGTAAAGTTTTTTAGATCCTATATGCGAAGATTATTTTATTTTTATTGATTCGACTAATGGTTTTATTCTGTTCAATTAATTCTATTTATTCCAACAAACCCACGGAGCCCGCAGCAGCCGAGTGGTCATGGTCGCGAACTCGTGGGTGGCAATGTTTCTGTTGTTCGAATCTCAGTGCTGCTAAAGATCCACATTTAGGTGCACGTTAAATCTGTAAAGGCTTTAAGTTTGCCGAGGCTTTTATTTTTTTTAGCGATTTTAATTCTATGTTTCTAACTTTTTAATTGTAATCTTAGACATTTTCGGCAATAAATGTGGAGACCACGGTAGTCGAGTGGTCATGGTCACGAACTCGAGGCTAGAGTTGTCGAGTCCTAGTACTATTGAATACTGGACATGCACAGGAGTTGTGTTATGTACGTTGAATACAATATCAATAGCTTTTTCAATACAACGATTAATACAATACTAATAAAAATACTTAGATTCCGGTTGTTGGATTTTTGTTAACGCCACACTTAGATGACATCACTAGGGTCATTCTCGTCTGACCTCGAAATTCTAAACCACAACGAAGTGACAAGGACAACAACGGAGCTTTCAACCTCTATTCAAATTGCCACACAATTTCATTGTAAGGAACCTCGACTGATTCTATGCGATTTTCTACATGACAACTGTCTTTAGAGATATTATAACTCACAGCTACGGCATAAACAACGCCGGACACAAGTTTGTAAGTAAGTCTAATAGGCTACTGCGGCTTGTGCTATTTTCCAGTGGCATAACGTATACCCCCGCAACCCCCACATCGCGGGGGGGCAGGACCATAGGGTGCCCAAAGCCAATGTTACGTTACGATTTTGGAATCCTTTGGGAGAACCAGATTAGGGCCCATGACCTGTTTTTGTAAGGGGCCCCAATATTCTCCATTACGACACTGCTGTCCCCCCATGATTAAACATATATTTATAAAAAGTTGCACATTGCGTCTCTTTTTAAAATAATTATATTCTGAAATTATGTATGCAATCCAAATAACTTTTTTGTTATTTCTTAGTAATAATAAATGTTTTCTAAAACATGCTAAAAATGAGGAAAAAAAATACAGTTTTTCATATAAGTGAAAATTTTTATCACATCTAATATTTAAGTACTGTTTCTAAAATTTTCGAAATTACTTTCTTCTTTATTTATAACTTCGCTCCGTTTTTCTTTGTTTTGGATTTATTTCCACAATATCAGATGGAATTGAATTTATATACACAAACTGAAAAGTGTCGTTAAAGGCATTGATAAAACTTATGAAATTCATAACTGAATATGTGATGGGCCAAAAAATACACAGGAATAATTTATGTAAATTCAATAATCAGTAAAATATAACATTTATAAGCAAATTATGCTTTGTTAAATCGCATTTAAAAGTTGGTTATCCTTATTTCTGTGTCTTTGAAACACATTATACAATAAATTACTCTTTTTAATTGTTAGTTAAATAAATAAATAAGCTAAAAAGGGTTTCGATAGAATAAGTTCTGATAATTGTTTACTTTGCGGGAAAAATGTATAAAACAAATTCAGCAAATTCTTCATTATTTCAGCAATGTCTAAGCATATATACTCCTAATTAATAGATATAGGAATAAAGCAAGAAATATCGTTTGTTTCTATAAATAGGCGACTTTTAACAAACATTATTTCTTAGAAAATTCGAACTGTTATTTAAAATATTCTATATGTTTTCCGTAAATTTGTACAAAAACAGTGCTAAATTAATAAAAATTTATTTATACTAAAAATACTTATAAAGCAATTAAATCATTTTCTTTAATTTTTAATAATTTTTTACTGAGAATTATTAAATATCGGATAATCTTGCATTTATTAAGTATAATTTATAAAAAGAGAAATATTCAATAAAAATGTATCACGAATTCCCTCTTATGAAAATGATACTTATAAAAGAAAAAGCGTTTATAAGAAATCGTGGGAACTTTGTGCACATTATATAATAATTACCTCAGAAATATCTTGACAGAAAAGTAACGATCTGTCAGTGTTTTTAAAAGGGTAATTTACATTCCTAAACAACATAAGAAGAAATAGTTATGTCATAAGCTTCTTCCTAATATGGATTTACGCATGAATAAGCCTGAAAGTGAGAAAAATACAATTCACCATCTAACATGAGCTTATTTTGTAAATTGTTAGTTCTAGCACCAAGTATGTCACAGACAAAACAATTTGGGTATTAGTACACACACACACGCTTGTAAACTCATACAAGAGTTATTCAGTTCAACAGTTGGTGAAATTGGAGCATCATTAAAATGCTCAATTCTTGTTTCCGGGTTGATGAATAATTTTTTCTCACCCTAACTGAATTATGCGTAACTGGACGGACCACCTTGAAGATGTGGGTGTCCTACCACGGTCCAATGATTCCAACTTTTCGTATGGTATATATAAAAGGCGAAATATACGTCTTCAGTCTAACACAAAGGAATAGCTCTCTCATCTTGGATTACACCACATAAGAGTCAAGAATGAATCGAATGGTAAGTTTTCCAAATCTCCACAGGAAATGTGCGATTGTTTTCAGTATTGCCGCACAAGGTGTATATTTTTACAAAGTTATATCGCTGTTAGTATAGAGAAATTCTCTCATAAATCGGATAATGGTGTTTCAGTCAAGAACGTGTGGCATATAGAGATGAAGGACTTGTAAAATTTCGGTTCACACATTATGCTTAATTTTGAAACAGTAATTTAATTAGATAATTATGATAGGCACTTCTGAATTAAATTGCAATTAATGTGAAATCATGAATTAGTCCAATGCAGTAATTAATTTTAGCTATGATAATTTTTAAAATGGTTAAAAGATATTTAGGCAACTTACATTTTTGTACTAATTTAAACACATATTTAAAATTACTTTTCATTTTCATCTGCTCCAGGAATATATATCTTAAATTAATTTCTTAAAAGTTATTTTAAAATATATATTCATGGAGATATATATATATATGTTAATTTTTTTTATTCTGAATTCTGAAAAATATTAATTTTCACAAAGATCTTATACGCAGTCAACTAACAACTTAACGAAGTAAACAAATATAAATGAAAGAAAAATATACATATGTAATAGTGATATGATTATAAAACCCGCAAGTAAAAATAGAAATAAATTTTTATATATGGGCTGTTTTTATCTGAATGATATTGCTCTAAGTTTAAGAATATCAGATCAAATCATTGGGTATATTCATGAATGTGATTCTGGCTTTTCCTGGAAGAACTCTTAATATTCTGAATCGTTGTACAGTAATCACTAGAATTTATATTTTAAAATACGCAATACCAATTTATTTTAAAATTAATTCAGAGGAACTGATGAGGACGTAAAATACCTTCAGTTTAATATGAAGAGTTGTAAAAAGAGTTTATTGAATTAACGAAATTTGTCATATGAACTAATTTATTAATTTAAATTAAGAGAATGTGCTACACTTTTAATTCTAAATCTAAGTATTTGTTGATTACTATTGATCATTTTTCACTTTCAAAGACATTTCATCACTTCATAGATGTTTTTACATCATGATCATTAAGAGTAGGGATCTAAGTATATTGGGTAAAGCCTTTTTATTTATTGTAAATTTTAATTTCTAGAAATAATCTCTCTAATCTGGGTACTGAGAAAATTTGAAACAAATTTTTTAATGAAACTTTAAGTTTAAATTATTAACTTCACATTCTATGCCTCAAAATAAAACAATTAAAATGTAATGAGCCTTTCTCGGAAGTCTTTAATTAAAACCATGTTTTTAATTATTTCTTATATATTATGAATATTAGATGCATTAATTGTTTTTTATACTTAAATTTATAATTACTGAGCTTACATCAATTTCTGTGCTCCTTTTTCTTTTCCATGTTTATTTGAATTACTTTTCCAGCATTTCGCTTTTAGTTCTACATTTAATACTTTTCAACAAATAAAAAGAGCCTTTTATTTCCTAAAATAAAATGCAAAATTCATTAAACATGGGGAACAGCGCGTGCTTCCTTCATCATTCCTTCAGGTTAGTGTTAAATCGTGTGTGAAGTGTTGGCGATCACTCATTTTACAATTTCCACTATTAGTTCACTATCTCTCTCTCTCATTCTATATACATATATCTTGTTCAAATTTTCAATTGTTAATAAAATACTTTATATTCATCCATTCAAGTTCAAATACATTTTCTTAAACCTGTAGTGGATGACGCTTGATGTTAATACAGTTTTATAAATATTAATTCACATTCATTTAAAAACTAATAAATAGTAACAAAAATAATAGTCCAACAGCATATATATAAAATGGAAAACCAATCGTTGTGTCCCTGTAGTGTAATGAATAGCACTTTGGACTTCTAATCCAAAGGTCGTGGGTTCGAATCCCACCTGGCATGGCCTAATTTCTGCGAGTGTGATTTCTTTTTTTACTATACTATTGTACTAAAATAATTATATTTAAGCAATGAATAAATAGTAACTAACAAAAAAAAAACAATTCAACACCCTATATAGAAAGGAAAATGGAAAATTGAGAGGAAAATCGCTTTCTATTCTATAAATATTGATTCTATCATATGTATATTAATTGTAACTATTTAGCAAAAAGTAACTAAAATAAAACTTTTCTTTGCTGATCTAAGTAGGAATTGATTTAAATAATTTATTTTTTATTTTATACTTGTTTCTAATTTTCTTTAATTATGCTATTTACAATTGCAATAAACTTCTGCTCTCAAGATGCAAAATAAGGATTTATTTTGCGTTGTTTTTTAAATACTGTAAATAAAAATTAGTTTATTTTTAATGGACTAGGGAAGGAGGATCCCCTGTCCACCTAACGGGGTCCAATCTTCGTTGTACAAATTATGCAACTGTTCATATTTGAAAGTGAATATTTGTTCAATGTGTAACTGTAATTGCATGTATTATGTAGTTCTATTTTTCAATAAATTGTTAGCAGGAAATAATAAATTCAACTTTTTACGACCCATTTTTACTAACTATACGTTATGTATAAATTAATTTGTTACAACATCACGAAAAACTTTTTTATATATAGAGCATATTTTGAGTAATTAATGTTTTATCTTTTTGTATAATTATTGTTTCATCTTAAAATAGGGTAAATAATTTACATCTAGATGTTTAATACGTTAATATTACTTTCTGTTGTATTTATTTTATGATAAAAAATTGTAATATTTGCAAGCAACGCCGTGTCTTGCATTATAATGAATTTTCAATAGAAACATAACGAAATTTTGGCGATACAGACAAGTTGGCATCATTAATATATTTATCACAGCATCAATTTTTTTTTATGTATAGAGAGAAAGAAACTTTTCTTTTTTAACGTTAGTTTATTGCATCTAAATTTATATTTTGATTCACACTTCACATATAGGAGTGTATTTTACATCAATCTGAAATTGTCGACAATTTCATTTTACCTTCTGTTAAAATATGCAAGAATTCAACTTATTAACTTTCATCTCTTTCATGCTTGGTGGTACATATTTTGTACCACCAATTCTTATTCGATTATTGTGGGGTGGTACATAAAACGTACCACTTGATTGAATGCCTTAGAAAGTGATGCTAGATGGTACATTCTCTGAACCACCACAGAGGTCAACTCATAGTAGTTATTCAAGTAGTTCATTCTTTGATCAGCTGTGAGTCTACTGAGTGGTAATTTTTGGTGTATTGTTAAGTGTAAATGACAGTGATTGTTGTGATATTTGATACATATCAGGTAAGTACATATATTATGTAACTAAATAAGTCAATATTACAATAATTGAGTCGTTTAGAAGCCAACGCGGTTAAGTACAGAAAACAAAAATTGAGAGTATTAATGTTTTTTGATGCATCCATTTTAAAAATTTTTAGTTTATTAATTTGATCATAAAAGTATATAAGGTCTTTTTTCTAAGTGTAAGTTCTGCAAAAGAAACAAGATATATTCAGGATGTGTAAATAAAAACGTAAGTATTTATTGATACAATGCCAACATTTTAAAAATTTTAGTACGTATACCTTTTTGCCGCTGAAAAAGAAAATAAATTTATGTATAAAAATAATACAATAACATTTGTTGTCATAAGTTTTATGTTTCTTCATCATAACAAGCATCTTCTTCTTCAGAGTTATTTAAATGTAAATTTTGATATCTGCGTGTTGTTCTTAATGTCATGTAAAAGTCGTGCTTAATTGGAGGTATATACTTAAATACCCTCATGATGTCTTTTTTGTTTGTTTCTTTTGAAATTGTTCAGCGATTAGGATATAATATTGTTTGAGTTATATTTTTTAAAACTTCTGGCCTACTTATTTTTTTATATCAATTACATGAAAGGTATCATCCGCGTCAAAATTATATTTGAGCTTAATGCTGCTTGGGTTTGTCCTTTCTAGTTTTATCCGTATCATACTAAGCCAATTGACTGTTAGTATACTCGTTGATTTTTTTCTTTTGGTAATATAGCATCTTCCAGTAGTTTTGTGGAAAGGAAATCTTGTCGATTCATTTCGACAACGTTGAAAGAGTTCTTTCTTTTACTATTTTGCATTATATGATACCAGTTACAGTGATTATAAATATACTGATTATTCTTTCTTTTTTTGCATAAGCTTCTATAACTGCAAAATCAGCATCATTGGGCAAATAACTGAGCTCACTTAATAAAAATCTAAGCTCAATTGATTCGGCTTTTATATCTTCTCTCTGAACCAATTCCAGTAAACGTAAAACAGTTTTTATATTTCGATTCCATCCTGAACATGCATCTGAATTAATTGTAATTATTAGAAAATAATTTACGTATAATTTACTGTGTTTAGTTAAACACGATGACACTTCTTGGGAACCCCGCAATCCTTGAGTTATAGGCCAAACATACATGTAGCCCTCGTTAGTCTTTAAATCATGACAACCAAGATTGTAGACTTATAATTTTCTCTTGTAATAAGGCATTGATGTGGACTGTTTTTGAAATAGTAATACTTTTTCTAAATCAAAACTAAACACTTATATTTCATCTGAAGTTATTAATCTATCATTAGCCATACTATTACAGGCAATTTCTGCATTTTTCAAGAGTTTGTCGTGTTCAATTTCAACCACATTTTTTCTTCGTCTATTGCAAATTGTTTTTTTATTATCAAATAATCACATTTTACACAAGTATCTTTTGAAGGTTGCTTAAAGTGTAAGTTATATTTTGCCGAAAATACATGGTAATAAAATTTTTCCTTTACTAGTACAATTTGCTCCTCATTACATTGTTCGACATACAGTTTATACATTTTTGCAATAGAAAGGTCTGAATTCAAGTATTGGAGTCTGGGATTATGAGTATAATGACTCTTGTACAATGACTCGAAGTAACAGGAAAGGAGCTTATTTGTTTTATTACATGGAATCATCTATTTTGTTACCTGGAATGTGCTGCCCCCGGTGGTCCTTCAAATCTTCCTCTGAACAACAATTATATAATCGCCCGTTACTTATTTGAAATGTTCCTTTAAAATATTTTTTGCAAACACCAACATCTTGGCCGTCAAGTCTAATAAAATATTCCATAGACGGATATCTCGGCCCTTTGGTGTTATTTCTGGGTCATTGTCTTTTGATAGCACGAACTCTAATAAACCCTTTTAAAAAATATTTTGCTTATGATGATCATTAAGCTTGTGAAAATTTTTCAACACCTTCTTTATTTGAGAAAAGGTTATCTTGTGATTCCAAGCCGTAAGCATTTACAAGGTTTATAATAAAATTTTTTGCAGGAAGTATTCTTTTATTTCTATTTTGATATTGACCATTTCCCAGTATTCCTGCTACGTTTCCGTAAAAAAAAAGATTTTCGGTCATTTTTATTATTTTCTACTTTTTAGTTATATGACGGTGCATCAGTATAAATACGGTTAACTCTCCTTGAATTAGGAAAAAATAGCGTATCACTTTCACTTTCAATGTGTTTTATTTCCGTTGACATTATATATATTTTGTATACACTTACAATATAAATCTTTTTTTTATTATTTTAAAAAATAAGATTTTTTACAGTTATTAAAGAAAGTTTATTTAATGTTTTTAATAACACATACAGTAATATTCAAAAACACTTCAATGTAATATTTTTATGTTTTAACCAAAGTTTAGATATTTCAAAGTAAAAGAAAGCACGCACATAAAACTCGAGCAATTATAAATAGTAGAAGTAAGAGCTACAGTTACTATAAATTTGTTGTTCTTAAGTGTTACCAACGAATATCGAAAGAAGAAGAAGAATTTAATTTAATTTATATATATATATATATATAATCTTAAATCCACAGCCATACTTAAAAATAATAAATCTCTTAATGAAAAAATGAAAGATAAAAAGATTTATTCAGTCTATAGTTAAGATTTTGAAGATCTTTTTAACTCTATTGATATTGATGATATGATTAATATACTTTTAACTTTGCATAAAGATAATTTATTTAATAATGTTAATTATGATAGATTTAGTTCACTTTTAGGTTAGTACTTAAAGAGAACTATATATTTCACAAGGGTAACTATTATCTGCAGATTAAAGGTTTGCCACAAGGTGGTCCTGCGAGCAACTGTCTTGCCAATTTATACTTACATTATTTTGAAAGTAGTTTCGTTAATAATTCTAAATATTATATTTACCGTTATATAGATGACATAATCATTTTTGGCCTATCAATTTTATATCTATTACTAATTTTTATCCACTATATATTAATTTAATAAAGACAAATAGTAACAACAATGAAGAAAATTTTCTTGACATTCATATCAAATTAATAGATAATGTAATAGTTTCTAATATTTATGATAAAAGAGAAGATTTTTATTTCAATATAATAAAAGTCCCGCATTGGGAGAGTAATGTACATATTTCTATATTCAGAAATATTGTTATTAATTATATACAACGCAATAAATTTCTAGTGTCAAAAAATCAGAAATAATAAATAACTGTAAAAATTTTACTAAATCTTGCTTAAATGAGAAATACCCAATTCATTTTATTAATAGTTAAATGAATAAAGCTATTCAAAATTGTAAGGATTAAAAATTCTTAGATTAATTATAGTTTAATACTATATATTTACACATTTCATAGTTATAGTTACCTCCATATTCTATTATTAGTTAAAATTACTTATTATTATTTAATTCATATATACTCTAGTGTCACTAAATTTATGGTTTTTTGTAACTCTTTTATTAATTTTTGTTTCTATTCTTTTTATACTTTTGTTAAGTGCTACATTTCAGCCATTCACATGCTTTGAATCTGCATTAGGGTCCAAAATCTGGCAATAGCTTATTTATTGCACTCAGATTTAGCGCGGGCTCGGCATTTTC